TATTAATAATCCCAGACAAATCAAGAAATATTTAGTCCAACTTTGAAAAAATTGTCCGCTTAAAAATAGAATCATAGCGGAATGTCTTAAAGACATTACTAAAGCAGAAGATAAATCTTCAACTGCTAAAGTTTCATCTTTTACAACAATGGTTTCATCTACCAGTATAAATACTGTAACTAATCTCAATCCTATTCAAGTTCTTAAAGAACTAATTAACAAAGAAAAACTCCATTAATATCAGAGAATTTTATTTCTTCCATATTTTTAACATAGTCATATTTATGATTAAGTTTAAATTTAATTAGGTTTAAAGCCATAATGGTATTTCAAAGGTTTTTCTGTTAACTTATATGATTCACTATTACCTTTTTCAAGTTATTACTATAATTCGTCTTTTAATTCTGTTACAATACCATTACAGTGACAATTGCTAGCATAATCTTGAAATAATAATTTTCTCAGCCTCTATCGTGATGAACTCAAGAAAAAATTAAATGATATTTGAACAATATTTAGAGATAAATCCAGAAGATATATATAATAATGTTACAATTACCAAATCATTTATCAAAATTTGTATCCCAAATCAGCGTGGGTATATACTATATTTTCGAAACAGGTCGGTATATGACAGTATATTTACATACAAATATATGTTTACCGCTATCGTACAAGAGAAAGAACAATCCCGAACTAGGAAAAATAATAATTGACATATAAAACAATGGCTACTACTAAAGAAATAAGGGTATTTAAACAGATGAAAACAAAAAATACCTGAACATTATTGATGGTGTGGAACTTGTTTCAACCATACAGATTCATTGAGTGAAGAGCTGGTGGGGATCGACTAGAACTACACATACTTTAAGTCTGATCATGCTAGAGCCCTTATGAAGGTTTCTGAAAACGAACCTCCACCCCCCGCCAATGCCCAGTTACGACTGAGCTTTTGCAAGACACGCCCAGTGAGGTTGGAGCCCGTCTTCCTCTAGGGCATTCATTTTGGACTTTTTGGGTAGTCTCAATTGCACGGCGGGCCTTTTTGTTTTTTTGGACTGGATCACGTGGGCTCATTCTAGTTTTAGGTGCCCGATCTAGTTTGAGAAATTTTTTGGTGGTAAATTTCATAACTGGTCCTTGAATTTTGACTTTAATTTTAATTTGGCCCTTAATTTTTTAATTATTTTAATTCATTCCCTTAACTACTACTTTCGTCTCAATTAAATCCTTTTGTCAATTTTTATTGTTAGATCAAATGAAAACATATAATCTAACGGTGGAAAGTGATCAAATCGGACTAATCTCCATTTGGTTCAACAGTAAAAATAGACATAAGTACTTAATAGAAATAAAATTCATAATTGACGGACTAAATTGAGATAATTGAAAGTTTAAGGACCAAATTAAAATTAAAAGCAAAGTTTAGGGACCAATTATGATTTTTACCCAATTGTTTTGTTTAGAAGTCAAATAAGTTTTTTTGTAGGTCTTAAAGGACAATTAAAGTTATTAAGATTAATTTATTCTTGATAACATAATTAGCATATTAAAAATAGAAAATGACTGTGACTTTGATATGGACATAAGACAAGAGAAAAATAATGTATTATTTGTAAAGAGTATTTTTGTTATATAAAATTTCGAAAACAATTACTTTGTATCATACACTTGATATTTTAAACACGTGTGCCCTTAACACCATAAAAAACTTATGGAGACCTATTGACATAAAAGATCTTAAAATTGTATTCACTTCTAATTTTCACAATTAAAAAATAAAGTATTGGACGGATACATAATTATTTTATTTAAAATATAAAAGCTAGCTAGCCAATTGGGTTACAAACAATAAGGAAAAAATTATTTTATACAATGAATAATTATTATTTTAAGTATATATTTCACTATTACAATAAAATCTTCTTATTTGCAATGTATTACAATGTGTTAAAGCACACCTTGTTTGGCTTTAATTTTTGTTTTATTTTCAAATTTTTTAATTTGAAAAAATCAAGTCTTAATAATTTTGATTGAGCATTCTTTGGTATAATGTGAACAAGTAGGGTTTAATTCACTGTGAGTTCTGCAATATACTTCTAACAACTTGAGGTTAGACTACAGTCCAAGTGGTTCATAGATAGCATTTGCGGTTTTCAATGTCTAGGTCTCTCTAAAGTGTATTCTTCGTAAGTTTGAACTGCTACAATCACGCACAAATAGATTTTTATAGTAGGTCAATCTAGTAATTAGGTGAATGTCGTTCAATCGCCTATGATACTAGGACCAATAGTTCAAAAATAGATTTTTGTGTCATAGGTGTTGAACGATCTACTCTATATATATATAGGTGTGGTTTTAAAGGGTTAGGACTCAAAAACCTTTTATTTCATTTATCATTAGGACCATGGTCGTCACTTTTTTAGGCCGGAAATCAATAAATGAAATTCATAAAAAAGAGATATCACACCTCATATCAAAAGGACGGATAGCTTTGTGAAGTTGGTTTAGGGTATTTATTTATTTCTATTTTTTTAGGAAGATATAAATCAAAAGATACGTTGTTTTTTTAATGGTGGTTCTTCTTTGTCAACACTGATAAGGATTTATAGGTTCACCCACTTCACTTGTGAAAGATAATGAGAATGAGTTATTCAAAAAAAAAAATGCATTACTTAGCTCTACATTAGGGGCTAGTTTGTTTCAAGGATGAGAGAGGTATAAAGAGGTGGTATTAGGAAAATAGTACGTGAGTCCCACCTAATATTTTGTTTGTTTAATATTTTATAATCAATATTATTTTTTGGATCGACCCGATATGAACAGTAGTTATAATGTCTTATAGATGGTATTAATGAATACCACCTACCCGTTGATATTATATGTCTGGTACAAGTGAAAGGACAATATAAGTTAATAAAATGACACAAATGCCCTTATGTATTAGGCCCTCGTATAAAAGCCAACTTTCTAACAAACACTAGCCACTCATTCACTCAACGTTCAGTAGCTTCCCTCAACACTCAGTCGCCTTCCTGGCCACTCTTGCTCATTGGTTTCTCTGACCATATTCTCTGTATTGTCATAATCTACTTTTCTCTCGCTCACTGATTTTTAGGGGAAACTTGGAACTCCTTGTTGGAATTCCAATTTTTTTTTTTGCAAACTCTTAGCTCCATTTTGCTGGAATTTTGTTTTATTTGTTGCTAGAATTCCATTTTTTTTGTTGGCTCTTAGCTCCATTTTGTAGGAATTGTTGTTGGAATTCCATTTTTTTTCCCCTGGCGCTTAACTTCTTGCACTGGAATTGTTGTTGTAACTCCATTATTGATGGAATTTTGGTGGAATTCCGTTGTTGCTGGAATTTTTGTGCATGTTCGTATATGTGTATTGTGTGTTGTGTGGTGCCTGTGCGCGTTACCTGGGAGACACTTGCCTTGAACAGTGCATGCAAACAACGTGGAACAACAAAAAAAAAGTTTTTGGGTGAGTGTCATGCACAGGCGGTTGTACTAACAAACAAGGGCATGAATTAGTTTTGAATTATAAGGTTATAATTATCTTTTTACATTGAATAGTTCATTTTGACGCACTTTTTGATGTAGGTATCACAAAATAATTTTTGTAAAAAACAAACAAAGGGAAGGATGAGATAAAAATTTAAGACTAGTCATAGTATCCCATGGATAGGAGTGGAAGGGATATAATTGTTAGTATCACCCATAAATAATCCTTGAAACAAACTAACCCTAGTAGAAGTAAATGGTTGAATTAACCTATTATGCTCTACAAATGTATTCTCTACTTATGTATGATATAATAAGGTATAATAGAGGAGCGAGTTAACGAATAGGCTTAGACTAATAGAAAATAAAACATCGGTGTGTAGCATTTATTCTACTATGAAAAAAGTTACGAAGTCACTTAACTTGACATTAGGAGAGTTAAGGAGGAACGTCAAACCTATATAAAAGACTTGTTGTTCGCTACCTTCTAAGGTTTAATCTCCTGTTTCCCTATTAAAAAGGGACAAAGTCTCTTTGCACCATCGATAGATATGGTTGGTCACCCTGACAAGTAGGAATTTTTGTATTCTATGTTCCGAGTCGATGAATTGCGGAAGTCTATTTCTTTGGCTGACCTTACTTGATGAAGGGTAATGTTTCAAGCCGAATTTTGTCAAAAAAATCGGTTCGAAATGTCGGATAGAAATATGGAATACCTCATAAATTTTCAAACTTGAAGTTATTAAATTTTGGATCATTTTTACAATTCAATTATCAATTTTTTGTACTACTTTTACATTAAAATATAAAATAAAGATATTAAACCAATACAATAAACTAATAAAAGTAAAAAAAACACAATAAATTTATTTAATATGTTCTCTAAGTCTAAAACATCATAAATAAAACACAATCACAAGTGATATGCTTTCTAAACGACGTTATTTTATAGCAAATAAAACGACGTCATTTTATAACTCATATATTATTTTTAAAAAAAAATTAAATATACATACTAATCGAATAAGAATGCAAAAATAAATACAAAAACCAAATTATTGTCTAGAATAGGATTATATTCTTGCAAGATAGATTGAGTGAGAATTTTGAGTCTGTCGAAAGATACCACTCAAAAGGTCCCACGTAATTCCGCGAGTGTTTGTCTTTGTCAGTTACGCATGTGGAGGCCTAGCTTTTTTTTTTTAAGAATAGTACGTGGAGGCCTAGCTAGACTACACGTATTTCACACGATTCTTGTACTGTCGTACGTGGCACCTCATGCGATATATGTTTTTTCACTTTTAAGCTCTGATTTTTTAGACTATATTAATCTAACGGGGGTCTCACACGTTGTACCTCAACAAATTTAAAAAAAAATATTTTATATCTCTAAAGATTAAAATTTATATATTATACTTTCAATATATTACAAATTATTAGCGTCTCAGGTAGGGGTCTCTTTCGTTCTCCATCCCTCTCTTTTCTTCGTATTATGTTTCTCAATTTCCTAGAAAATGTTCGGATTCGAAGCTCTTACCTTCAACATTCATGGAGGTTATCTTGAGGCGATCGTGAGAGGTTACAGGTCTGGAATGCTCACTGCGGCTGATTACAATAACTTGTGCCAGTGTGAAACCTTAGAGGACATCAAGCTGCACCTCTCCGCCACCGACTATGGTCCTTATCTCCAAAATGGTTAGTTCAGATCTATCTCAACATTGTTCTCAACTGAATTGGTTGTTTGTACTTTAATTATTAGTTTTCTCAATCATATTTTAAGCTTTAGGAACTTAATTGCATTACACTTGTGTAATTTACACTAGTATACGCACAATTACGTATTTTTTGTTGGGTTGTGATTGTTTTTTTTGCTATTGGGTGTCTAGCATGCGCCGACTACTCTTAGTGGTTGGCTCACCAGTAGAGCATTGGACAAGGGTGGTTAGTCCGTTACGGTCCTTAGAGTTGTTGGATTGTGATCTGAATTTGCGGGTTTGTTGGACAATTAGGCTTTTAAATGAGACGTTGTCTTATAATTCCGATTGAAAATTTTAAATTTTTTGTTTTCATTTGAAGTATTAATTTAAGCGCATTCTTTCTGTCAATTTGGGTTGTTTCTACTTAACTGATGGTGCACTTCTTATATTGCTGTATTTTGTTTATCTATGTGCGTCAACAAAGTGATGTAGATTGATTTTGGGTTGTTGAAAGCTGCTTAGAATTAGCATAATCCCTAATGGAAACTGAATCCCGGGTTTTGTTGATGACAAACATTGCGCTAAAATCCCGCTAGACATAGAAACACAGGTATGTATTCATCAGAAATGCATTGGCTTCGTCCTCGTTTGAGGTCATCTACTTACCTGAACCTGTTAGTTAAATCAATGCACTTCTATAGACTATACTTGGTAGCTAAGATTCTCTATTTTTTTTTGGACAACTACTATATACTCTTAATTCTGGCAAATGCGCAAATGTCCTAGGTAGGTTTTTTTTTTTCTATACCATCACTTGAAGAACCTTGAACTTGGTGGAATTTCATATTTTTAAACTCATGTTCTTATTACGTCTATTATAATTTGCTTGCAGAACCTTCCCCGGTGCATACAACGATGATCGTGGAGAAATGCACACTTAAACTGGTCAATGACTATAAGCACTTGTTATGCCAAGCTACAAAGCCTTTGTCAACATTCCTAGAGTACATCACGTATGTGGGACTATATCTTTTTGAAAAATTGTTCCTGTGCCACATCCATATCCATTCTATTTGCGTAGGATATGAACTGCACAGTTGGATTGCGTTATTTACATTGCAGAATTTTTTGAAAATTGATTTTGAAAGTTTCTTTTTTTCTGGGTTTATGTATATTCATAACTGGTATGTTTGTTCATGTATATTCATAATAGTAACGGTAGAGGGGGCAGCTTCCCTCCCTTTCTAGTCCCCCTAGAGAGAGCCCTGGGTTTTGTTCCATTTCATTGGGGTGAAATTTGCAATTCTTTGTAATGCAAGACAGAGATGTGTTAGCTGTAGCTTAGTTCCACCTCATTTGAGGAAAGCTGGATGCCAATGATTCCTTACCCACTCACAAATGTCCTTTGGGTGCATGTCATCAGGCTTGTGGAGTTGTAGTTATAAAAGTAAATTGATTTATCTGCAAAATGAGACTAGTATGCCTCATATATTGGATATTGTTTGGGTATCTATTGTGAGGGAAATCTATACTTTGGGTAGTTTGCAGCTTTAATTGTTTGCTCAATTTCTGTAGATGTTTATACCTTCATACTTTGTAGGATTTTTGCCATGAATTTTCTGATACAGGAGCACTTTTGGCTTTTGAAATCACTCATATTTTGATTTTTTATAGTAGTGAAACTTAAATTGTCACCATCCACAAAATGTGAATTTGTTGAATTTTGTATGGAGTTTTGGTATCACAACTTTAGAGGTGATGGGGAGATGGGCTGGGGTGACAAGTGTTGGTGAAATATTGATGAAATCTGTAAAATTTGAGAAACGTTGAGCTATGCATAGAGAGTCACTTCCACAGTAAATAGCAAGGTTCCCAGTTACTTTGTTGGTGTGCGCTTTTGGGGTTGTAGCGTGTGTGTTTTCATTGTGTATCTTGGATATTAGTGGCCCCTATGCTAGCGTACTTGCTCCTTCCTTTTTTTTTTGTTGGGAGGGGGGGACAATAAAAGTATCTTCAAATTTATTAGATATTTTGTAATGTTCAGATATGGCTACATGATTGACAATGTTGTCCTTAACTCCTTATTGTTACTGGCACCTTGCATGGGAGAGATGTTTGGGAACTGTTGGACAAATGCCACCCTTTGGGCATGTTTGAAAGGTAAACTTTGTCCTTATTGCATATTGTGGGTTTGTTGTAACTGCTAGTAAGGCAATGCTTTTTGGTTTTGTTTTAATTGCTGTTAAGGCAATCTTCCCACCATTTGTTTCCTCAGTATTGCTACCTTGGCAGTTGCTCACAATATGCAGGAGCTTTATAGATTGGTGCTTGTTGACACACCTCTGGCTCCGTATTTCTCTCAATGTATTACGTCTGAGGTATCGCCTGGTACACTTCTTTATCTCCTTTTTGATTAACATGAGAATTGCTTGTCTGACTTCAGGAAAAATATTACTTTCTGAAAAGACATCAGGAGAATATTACTTGCAAACCTTCCTTTCCTCTAGCTGATATTTCTTAGAATCTTGTGCTTTCCAATGGTGGTTGTAAATAACTAATGGGTTCATAGACCAAAGATGCCATCTATTTAGCATTATGGCCTGTGCATGGTTGGAGGGCTGGTTTATTGTAAAACTATATGTAGAGGCAAAGAGATTTAGAACTCTTCTTATTCATTTGATTGACATCAAGATCATAGTTTTTTTTTGGTCAGGCACTAACCCGCGACCTTAAGGTCCAATAGTGGGAACGGTGGCCATTAGGCCAACCGCTAACCTCACATCAAGATCATAGTTAGTAACCAATGATAATAGTATTAGGTGAATTTCTTTTGTTGTTTTCTTGTCCATAGTATCAGGGGGATTCTGTTGGTTTTCCTTTGTACCTAGTTGGTACTTTCTGTAGGACTTGGATGAAATGAACATTGACATTATGAGGAATACACTTTACAAGGCATATCTTGAGGATTTCTACATGCTTTGTCAGGTGAGGGTTGGTAGCCCAATTTCCAGTTTTTNTCAAATCAACAAACTCAAAGGATTGGGGTTGTCCAACAAAAACCACCCCCAATAATGCCCAACAAAACAAAGTCTAACAAAGGAAAGAAGAAAAGTCAAACAAACAACCCAGCAGAGAGAAGTACAAATAAACAAAGAGAAGAAGAAAAGTCAAACCAACAGCCCAACAAAGAGAGACCCAAATCAACAAAGAGAAGAAGAAATAACCCAACAGAGAGAAGCCCAAATCAGCAAAGAGAAGAAAAAAAGTCAAACCAACAGCCCAACAGAGAGAGACCCAAATTAGACAAAGAGAAGAATGCCAAAAGGAATTAGGATTTCTTATCTTGCAACAAGAAGCACCAACAGAAGAGAAGAGACAACAAACCCAACAACCAGAACTAGCAATCTATGTAGCAATTGGTTCACTGAGAAAGATGTAGGAACGAAGGCACAGAAACAGCCAGCCGACACACAGGGGAACACAAATCCAATCACAAAACAGAAAGAAGAAGGCATCAGTGAAGCCAATAGAGAACCAAAAGAAACAGCCAATGCCAAGCAATCCAAAATTTGCCACAAATTAATTCAACAACTTTGCAAATCAAATACCCATAACAAATTGAGGTTTCTTACACAACAATATAGCAAAAATGACACTAAACATCGAAATTCGGCACTGTTCACAGCACGAACAGTAACTTCGGCATTGTTCACAGCTCGTGAACAGTAACTTCGGCACTGTTCATCGAGTGAACAGTACATCAGTACTGCTCACAGCCTTTAGAACCATGTTACCTCTGATACCATGTTGATTTTGATCAATCGTAGAAAAGTAAGAGAAAGAAGGAGAGAATATTATTGAGGCACAATAAGCCCGAACAACCTAAAAGAAAAACTACTATATAAGAGGTTTTTATATAGTAGGGTAAAAAGAAAACAAATAGACTAAGTTAGGGCAACATAAAAAGAAAACAAATGACTAAGTTACCCCTAAGTGTAAATATACTAACTACTCTAACAATAGCATCTTCACAAAATTCAAAACTATTTTTGGTTGGTTTTTAAGCTAGTCAGTTTCTCCCCAACAGTTCTATTTATGATGGAGTGTCTGTTTTCCTTTCTGGGCTTGCAGTTCCACTATGCTGTGTTCTTTGCATATCTACGGTTGAGGGAGTAAGAGATCCGGAACCTGATGTGGATATCAGAATGTGTGGCTTAGAACCAGAAGTCGAGGGTGCATGATAGTGTTGTTTTCATATTTTAGGTGCTTCATAAGGCGTTCGAAAAGGAATTTATGGCATTACGAATTTTGTTGTAAATCCTGTTCCCATGGATTTTGAGCATGTTTTTGAAAGAAGTGCTTATCTGTATGTTTGGTTCCTCGCTTGGAGGGCGAGATCTTGTGATGAGATTCATCAATGTATGTAGAATGTGTCATTTAATTCTAGCAAAGTTATAATCAGTGTATAAAGTTATTTTCTGGTGATGATTTGGAGAGAGAATTGGTAGATATTTTTGAATTTTGCACAGATTCATATTTGAATTTTTTACCTATTCGAATCCGTGATGTAACAATAGGTATAAAAAAATTTAATTTTTTGTTTATTGGGAGGTAGATCAATAAATTGTTGGAGTTGGTGGTTTTGGTTTTTGTGAATATTTTTATGGATTTTTGCGGGGTTTTACTTGTTAAATAATTTTTAAAATAATGATATTTGTCCGAATATATGCAAAATATAATTATGATGGCAAAAAAATAAGGGTGATTTTCATTTTGCACCTAGAAAGATGCTTTGGTTTTTAATTTGTACCTTCAAATATTAAAAACTTTAATTTGCACTTTTAATGTTATAAATTGATAATAATATTATTATTGCCAGTCCAATTTTTTGTTATAAATTGAAGCACGTAAGGTCAAGTGCTTCGGGCATGTGAGTCTCAATAACATTGCTCATTTTTTAATAGTGGAAGGGAGATAGAGGACGGAATCGTTGGTGGCTTGTGGGTACACCCACCCACCACCACCTCCCGCCTCTCTTTCCAACTCAGTTCCTGTTACTGACAAACTTGTTGGCCCCGCCTTCNTGCTTTTCCTCTGATTGGTTTCTTGGCCCTTGAGATTTTGATATCAAACTGTGATGTGGTTTTTGGTTCTTCGTCTGTTTGCCGTTGTAGGTTCATGCTGTCATGGAAAAATACCCAGCTTATCCGCCCATATTTGTTAAGTTATCCTATGGGGAGATTCAGATGCTTGACAAGGCATTCTATGAAGAGGAGGTGAAGAGGCTCTGCCGAGCATTTGAGCAACAAGTTCGTACTTAGTGAACTGTTAAATTAATAATTGTTCTGTTGATAGTGTTGATGTGTGCAAGTGCGGCGCCCAAAAATTTCAGCTATATCTGTTAATTTTGATCAATCATAGAAAAGTAAGAGAAAGAAGGAGAGAATATTATTAAGGCACAATAAGCCCGAACAACCTTAAAGAAAAACTACTATATAAGAGGTCTTTATATAGTAGTGTAAAAAGAAAACAAACAGACTAAGCTAGGGCAACATAAAAAGAAAATAAATGACTAAGTTACCCCTAAGTCTAAATATACTAACTACTCTAACACCCTCCCTTAAACTCATAATATGGTAGCAGAAAACATCAAGAGTTTGTTAAGAAGAAAATGATCAGCAAGTAGCCAATGCAATCAAATTATCTCTGTTGTTGTGAAGGTCATAGCATGATACTCAGCTTCAACAAATGATCGAGCAACAACAGTTTGTTTCTTACTTTTCCACGAAATAAGAAAATCACTAAGGAAGAGACAGAAACCAGTAGTAGACTTGTAATCCATAGAGTCACCAGCTCAGTCCGCATCAGAGCAAGAACGAAGTTCCAGAGACTTAGAGGAAGAAAATAATAAACTCAACAAATACTCTAAGTGTAGGCTCGACGAATTAAAACCCAAACTAGCAGCCCAACAGAGAAGCTCAAATCAACAAACTCAAAGGATTGGGGTTGTCCAACAAAAACCACCCCCAATAATGCCCAACAAAACAAAGTCTAACAAAGGAAAGAAGAAAAGTCAAACAAACAACCCAGCAGAGAGAAGTACAAATAAACAAAGAGAAGAAGAAAAGTCAAACCAACAGCCCAACAAAGAGAGACCCAAATCAACAAAGAGAAGAAGAAATAACCCAACAGAGAGAAGCCCAAATCAGCAAAGAGAAGAAAAAAAGTCAAACCAACAGCCCAACAGAGAGAGACCCAAATTAGACAAAGAGAAGAATGCCAAAAGGAATTAGGATTTCTTATCTTGCAACAAGAAGCACCAACAGAAGAGAAGAGACAACAAACCCAACAACCAGAACTAGCAATCTATGTAGCAATTGGTTCACTGAGAAAGATGTAGGAACGAAGGCACAGAAACAGCCAGCCGACACACAGGGGAACACAAATCCAATCACAAAACAGAAAGAAGAAGGCATCAGTGAAGCCAATAGAGAACCAAAAGAAACAGCCAATGCCAAGCAATCCAAAATTTGCCACAAATTAATTCAACAACTTTGCAAATCAAATACCCATAACAAATTGAGGTTTCTTACACAACAATATAGCAAAAATGACACTAAACATCGAAATTCGGCACTGTTCACAGCACGAACAGTAACTTCGGCATTGTTCACAGCTCGTGAACAGTAACTTCGGCACTGTTCATCGAGTGAACAGTACATCAGTACTGCTCACAGCCTTTAGAACCATGTTACCTCTGATACCATGTTGATTTTGATCAATCGTAGAAAAGTAAGAGAAAGAAGGAGAGAATATTATTGAGGCACAATAAGCCCGAACAACCTAAAAGAAAAACTACTATATAAGAGGTTTTTATATAGTAGGGTAAAAAGAAAACAAATAGACTAAGTTAGGGCAACATAAAAAGAAAACAAATGACTAAGTTACCCCTAAGTGTAAATATACTAACTACTCTAACAATAGCATCTTCACAAAATTCAAAACTATTTTTGGTTGGTTTTTAAGCTAGTCAGTTTCTCCCCAACAGTTCTATTTATGATGGAGTGTCTGTTTTCCTTTCTGGGCTTGCAGTTCCACTATGCTGTGTTCTTTGCATATCTACGGTTGAGGGAGTAAGAGATCCGGAACCTGATGTGGATATCAGAATGTGTGGCTTAGAACCAGAAGTCGAGGGTGCATGATAGTGTTGTTTTCATATTTTAGGTGCTTCATAAGGCGTTCGAAAAGGAATTTATGGCATTACGAATTTTGTTGTAAATCCTGTTCCCATGGATTTTGAGCATGTTTTTGAAAGAAGTGCTTATCTGTATGTTTGGTTCCTCGCTTGGAGGGCGAGATCTTGTGATGAGATTCATCAATGTATGTAGAATGTGTCATTTAATTCTAGCAAAGTTATAATCAGTGTATAAAGTTATTTTCTGGTGATGATTTGGAGAGAGAATTGGTAGATATTTTTGAATTTTGCACAGATTCATATTTGAATTTTTTACCTATTCGAATCCGTGATGTAACAATAGGTATAAAAAAATTTAATTTTTTGTTTATTGGGAGGTAGATCAATAAATTGTTGGAGTTGGTGGTTTTGGTTTTTGTGAATATTTTTATGGATTTTTGCGGGGTTTTACTTGTTAAATAATTTTTAAAATAATGATATTTGTCCGAATATATGCAAAATATAATTATGATGGCAAAAAAATAAGGGTGATTTTCATTTTGCACCTAGAAAGATGCTTTGGTTTTTAATTTGTACCTTCAAATATTAAAAACTTTAATTTGCACTTTTAATGTTATAAATTGATAATAATATTATTATTGCCAGTCCAATTTTTTGTTATAAATTGAAGCACGTAAGGTCAAGTGCTTCGGGCATGTGGGTCTCAATAACATTGCTCATTTTTTAATAGTGGAAGGGAGATAGAGGACGGAATCGTTGGTGGCTTGTGGGTACACCCACCCACCACCACCTCCCACCTCTCTTTCCAACTCAGTTCCTGT